ACCCCAGAACAAAAAACTTAGAAGGGAAACGTAAACGGGAACAACTGAGTGCAGATATAGTTTGTTTGGAGAACATTCAATAGATGGCGCATAGTTAGCGGGCGTGTTAAAGTTACTAAATCTAGTGACTTTAGTGCTTGTGCGCCATTATGACAGTTGAATTTTGAATTTTGATTGACGGCTTATTGTGCTTTAAGTATAATTAGTATTCATTATTACAATGAATTATGCATATACAAGTCGAGAACGTAAATGTTGTGTGACAAATTGTGAAGACGTTTCCCAAAAATGGAGCCCGAAGTTTTTAAGAATTGGTTTAGAATATAATGTGGAAAAAAATTTACACAAAAGTTTTTGGTTTGTGAACGTCATTTTTCTGGCTGCGCTTTAGAACCTGGAACACGAAGAGATTTAAAGCGTATGGCAGTTCGCACATTATATTTAGCAGGTAGCACTAATTGAATTGTAATAAATTGCTACATATTTTGTTTTTAGAACGATCTCGAGAGCATCATACAGTAGAGTTTCATGAAGTTGATCTTGTATCTTGTATAATCATATTAAATTAAATATAACTCCTGGATTGGATTAATTGGAGTTGTTACTTATAAAACAAGTGCTCTGTACTCTTTGAAGGCCCTGACTGGTGAGGTGCATCCGCATTAAACTGAATTTATTTGGACCCCTAACAAACAAAATTGGACTTCACTGGCTGGATTCATTTACCTTTTCGGTTTCAGTTAGCCAAATCCAATGTTATTGTTACAGATCCGGAGAAATTCAGTATCATGCGGACGTAGCTTACATTTTAATATTTAAATTTGGCGCCATTCACGCAAAAAGCTGCTGAGAACATACACGAGATGGCGCGTCATTTTTACATTACATTACAGTTTCCATCCTAGGTTTGTTGTTCTATGCACATAACCTCAGCGTAAATAGTATAAAAGATTTCGTGATTAATTATAACTACCGTAAGTGGTGCCCTACCATGAAGTACACTTTGTCGTGGTGTAGGGCTCAGTAGTCACATATTTCTGTAGCACAGCTAAGTATCCCAGGCGGGTAAATCTGGTTCCAAGGATGCTGTACCATTCAAATGCTTCATGGAGTAGAGAAATCCAAAAGGGTTTTCGACGATTGCTCATCATAGAAAACTATATTGACATGAGTAGCACATTTTTCACGTACGTTACCTCCTGAAGCGTGCGGTAGACAACAATTTGGACAACTTCCGAATCCGATTGAGCCATTTGATCATGACTTGTTGAACGTGATAAAGGACTTTATCGACCCTAGTACTCCTTTGGACTCTGAAGGATTGTAAAAGTAGCTGGATGGTAGGGCAAAGAAAATAATTGTTTTCTTCGTCGACAACGAAGGAAACTACATACAGCTTTACGTGAATCGTATATTGCGGGCAAATTTTGACATTAACTGTGAATAAGTTGCCAGAGTCTTCTGTTCGACTGCACCCAATGTAAGGTTCCATAAGAGTGCCCGCCATAAAAACTGTTTTTCCAAAAAATTTGTTTTAAGAACTATTTTATCAATTTAGACCTTTATCTACAAAATGTTCGTAACAGAAAAGTCTTAAAGTGGGCATAGCTTACTGAATCATCTCCATACTTAAACACCTACAAGACTCATGGCAGTTTTCTGATGAACAAAAATCTGTGTTTGATGCAAGAAATATTACCAACATCATTTCATCACTGTTTGGCAGATTTGCTGCTATCCGCATTCGTATATCCACCTTCCATTCTTATCTGGTTTTAAAAACTAAACTTTAGGATAAAATGGAACAAGCACTAAATTAAAAAACGTAGACAAACTCTACAAACGCACAGAGGATTAGGATAATGACGTCACGCGCTCTGATTGGCGTTTGATATCACGTGACAAATGTCGTTATTTTTTAATTTTAGTTTTACTAAAATCTAATAGCTTCTCGTGTACATTACCAAAGAAAGTTATTTTGCGATACCCTGACACCTTACTCTATCTTACGAAACAAAAATTTATTTATTCTTTTTCCACTGTCATGTACCCTATTATAGGATAATTCGCCCCCGGATAATTCGCTCCTAGGAGTCCTAGGACAATTTGCTCCCAGAGCAATGGGCTCTCGGAAAACTCGCTCCCTATCCAGCCCTGTAAAAATGCATGTGAGATCAAATTGTTTATGTTATGTATTGATGAATTAAATTAAACAGATCAAAGGCGGAGGAGGAGTAAGCGCTTTAAGTTCAGAAATTGAAGCCGAACTTCAAATGCAAACATGGGGTCACGGAATGTCCAGAGAAAAGGTTTAGACCTAGGACAGGTTTAAATTACACAAAATAAAATAAAAACAACATTCCAACCCCGTCTAGGCGAGGAATGGTACCTGGTACTAAAATTATTATAAGAGGAACAAATTATCATTAAAAAAGAGACCCCTGGGCGTTGCAACGGCCTTTGTTGCAATAAAGGGTTGAAATTGCCCTTCGATTAACAAAGTTTTGAAATTTTGAACTAAAACTGTACCAAAATAAAATTCCCTTAGTACAATAAATTGAAAAACTCGGTAATAAATGCACCCTTCAGTTTGGCTTTGAAATATTGCAATTGCTGGATAAAAATTTAAATTGAATGTATACTAAATTCAAATAGCAAATTACATTTAATATCAGAAATTTAAAGATTGGTTGAATTCTTTAAGATCAATTAATCAAGTTCGTTTCTTACATTTATTTTGAATACTTAAACAAAAATAAATAGAATTAACCTTGGATTCCAATTCTTTTCGTTCATGGCAGGGATTGTTCTTAACGTCTGGGTACAATCTGGAGCGCATCGTGGAGACGTTATCAGATGTCTTTCTGTCAAGAAAATGCATTTGGAAACTCGCCGATAATGAATTCTTCGCAGATAATGGGAATTTTTTCTTTGATTTCAAATGGGCTGAATTTCGGTGTTTTGCTTGTAAGTAGAAATTTACGTTAAAGGACACTGCTTGATGAACTGTGATGATGTTACTGTTATTTGAAAAACTTTTCAGTACGAATTTGCACCAATTTGCGGTTACATCTTTAGCAATGAGACCGATCGAAGAGAGTTTTATTTTGAAAATATTGACAATTTTAGTTCAAATTCCACCACTGGATGGGGTTTATTAGATCTCTTGCGGTTTAGTTAATTCGCAATGAATCCGGAGCAGTTTTTTATCCAACGAGTAATGAAAAATTCGCTCGCTCGACACATTTGCTTCCTTAGTCAAATGAATCCTTTAATAATAAATAATAATACTGTTTAAATTTCTTCGTAAGGTTTAGGACATAATACTCCTTTGTGTATATTAAAAAACATACTTCTCCGGTTAACAAATGGGCGGAAAATGTTACACGACTTTATCTTATGATATGAAACTACCATTCGGGAATAAGATAACTAATTCAAAATATTTCAGACCGAAAAAATCGAAATTCCATTTTACTTTTTTGCGATCTCTTCCCGATGGCTGAGAGATTTCACCTATCTATTAATTCAACTCGAAATGGTCCCCTCTTTTAATTACTGAGAAAGATTTTGAACTCCCACAATGTTCCTCAAAATGGCGATGTCTAATAATAATAATATAATAATATATATTCATTGTGCTAGTACATTAAAAGTAATGTTTAAACGCGTCATAAAAGCAGAACAATACATATAAATATAAAACACAGAGACCTGATATAACATAAAACATAAAACGTAAACTTCAAGAAATATTAAAATTTATAATTCAACGTCAATGTTAAGAAAATCTTTAATATTGTATAAGGGGTTTTCAGTTAAAAAAACCTTTATTTTGTTTTTGAAAGTCTTTGTATTTTCTGATCGAATGTGATCAGGCAACCTGTTATAAAACACCGGCCCCCAGTAGTTATGTGCAGCTTGCGATTTTTTAAGTCTAAGTTTCGCGCATACAAGATTATTGCTGTTACGTGTGTTGTACCTGTGGATGTCTGAATGGGCTACATAATTTAATTTATTTTTATGCACATATACCAAACATTCTAGTACGTACTGAGAAGGCGCTGTAAGAGTTTTGAAAGATTGAAAAATGTAACGACAGTCTTCTCTGTATCCAGCACTAGCTACACTTCGGACACACCTTCTTTGCATCGCAAATATTCTTTTCATTGCAGTGGAGTGGCCACACGCTATTATTCCATAACAAATTATTGAGTGGGCATAACTGTAATAGACACATTTTAAAATCGGTTTCGACACCATGTTAGATAAATGTTTTAACAGATACGCGACTGAAGCCAGTTTTGCGCTAATTCTGTCTTCGTATTGGCCCCACGTCAGTTTCGAATCAATAAGGACGCCAGGAAATTAATGGATA